TTCTATAGATCTATACCTTGCCACATGGCTCATGACTTACCAGTATCTTTACATCTTGCTTCTCATGACTGCGGCTTGCAGCGTCTCCTCACTCAGCCTTCCTATTCCCCGAATTCTCCTCTCTGCTTGTCCCGCCTATACTTCCTGCCTGGCTACTGGTCAGTCAGCATTTTATTTATTAACCAAGCAGATCCACAGCAAGCCTTGACAAAGCATTGTGAGACAAAGAACCTCCAGAAATGCTATTGTGTTTATTTTGTGTTGGCCATCTACTGCTGAGCATGGGTCATGTCCTTAAGAGTAGTTTGTATACCCAGTAAGACTGTTGAAGTAAACTAAGTTTTCTTGTGAGCTGGTATCAGTTGGAGATAGCTTCAGAGTTAGGCATGTGGGTTTGTGTCCATGTCCCCTCTCAGTGCTGAGACCCCATTTATCCCAGACACGTAAAGATTCTGTGCATGGTGCAAAGTCTCTGTGAGTTCATATATGCTTCATTTCTGCTGTGCTTATAAGGCCTTTATTCCTTGGTGTCCTCCAGCCCCTCTGAATCTTAGAACCATTTTGTCTCTTCTCCAGAGTTCCTTGAGTTCTGATTGGAGGGATTTGATGGAGACATCCCTTTTAGGACTAAGCATTCCAGGGTCTATCACTTACTACACACTGTCTAATTGTGGGTCTCTGTACTCGTTCCAATCTACTGAAGGAAGAAACTTCTCTGATGATGGACAAGCGGTACACAGAGCTATTAGTAGATAAGTGTTTTTAGGACACATTTTATACCTACATTCCTTTAGCATACCAGTAGTAGTTGGTTTTCAAGTAGGTCCCTGACTTATCTAGTCTCAGATTCTTGGCTGTTTGAATGGTGTTAGAGATGGGTTCCATCTCATGGAGCCTTAAATCAAATCAGATAGTGCTTTGTTACTCCCATAAGGTTTTTGCCACTATTGCACCAACACATCTTGCAGCTAGATCACCACTGTGAATATGAGTGTTTGTAACTGGGTTGGTGTTTACCTTTCTCCTTTATGCATGCAGCATCCTGTTCAATACCTTGAGTACTAGCCAGCAGGGCTGAAGACTAGATAAGCACAAGCTTGCCTTCTCCATAGTCAATGAGATGAATACCTGTAGTCTTTACCAATACTGCCTTAACATCAGTTTATGGAGAGCAACTAATAGCTTTGGCAGTAGCCTAGGTTGTTTGGGGTTTGCCATGAATACCCTTTGGCCGACAATACAACTAGATGTAACCCATTCAGGATCAAGGTTACTCATTTTGTGACAAGACATGACTAGCTGTGACTCTGTCTCCCTCGTTATTTGATGAGTCCAGTTAGAGCACTTCCGTATATACATATATTTTAGAAAGCACCTACTGTATTCAGTTTGCATATGGCCCCTCAAATAGCCCCTAGTTTTAGCTGTCCCTCCTCCTATTCTCTCCCTCATATCTCCCTTCTATCCTCCTTCCCATTTGATCCTCTCATTCCAGACTTTACCACCCCTCCCACCCATGTGTAATGATCTATTCTATTTCCCCTTCCTATGGAGATCCAGCACACACACACACACACACACACACACACACACACACACACACACAGTCTCTTATTTAAACACCTAACTTCTGTGCTTACGTGGATTGTAGCCTACTTATTGAAGACTTAACAGCTAACATTCACATATAAGTTAATACATATACTGTCTTTATTACTATAGCTTTGTAGTAAAATTTGAGGTCAGGGATGGGGATACCTCCAGCAGTTCTTTCACTATACATGAGAGTTGTAACTATCTGGGGTATGCCTGTGTTTCCATGATAAGTTGATTATGGGCTTTTTAAGGTCTGTGAAGAATTGTGGTGGAATTTTGATGAGAATTTACTTTATTCTGGTTATTGCTTTTAGTAGGATTGCGAATTTCACTATGTTTATCCTACCTATCCATGAGCATAGGAAATCTTTCTATCTCCTGGTATCTTCTTCAATGTCTTAAAAGTTTTATTATGCAAGTCTTCCACTTGCTTGGTTAGAATCACCCCAAGGAGTTTTTGAGGCTTTTGTCAAAGCTCTTGTTCCCCTTTATACTACTGTGTTCTTCCCCTTCCCCTTATAATACTTTTAAACAATGAAATAATCAAGATATTTTAGATATAAGTTATTTCTTCTTTTAAATGCATGCTATTATTTTTGTAAAGATTTACATTTAGCACTTTTCTTAATCATGGCAAGTTTTATGAATCTTAATAAATAACACACCTTTTTAAAATGATAAGAATTTAAATTGTGACGACTTATTATAAACACATATGGAATTGTCATTTCTTTTTTTTTTTTTTTTTTTTTTTTTTTGGTTTTTCCGAGACAGGGTTTCTCTGTGTAGCTTTGTGCCTTTCCTGGAACTCACTTGGAAGCCCAGGCTGGCCTCGAACTCACAGAGATACGCCGGCCTCTGCCTCCTGAGTGCTGGGATTAAAGGCGTGCGCCACCACCGCCCGGCTGGAATTGTCATTTCTTATTTCAACTTTATGTACGTATATACAAATGTGTATGTACTTTAAACCATTTCATGGAAATGTATTTGTGGAGGGGTAGAGATATACCTAAATAAATAAGAGCACCTGATATTCATGCATGACTGCCTGAGTTTGCAGTCCAATTCCCATGGGAAAATTCTATATGTGGCCCTCTATTGCCTATGATCCAGCATTGGATTATTTGCTGATAAAAATATATAAAAAAGAGTTCTTTAATTAATTATAAATACAAAGTAATTGAGAGAAACATTACAGAAAAATATACATATATTTTTATTTTAAGTACTTTTATAGTCTTCAAATCCACTACATTTAACCAAGTAACAAAGTTGTTACTCTCTTTTTAATACCTATTTTCAATTTGTACTGCTTTCTCGGTGTATATATACATATATATGTGCATATATATAGAGAGAACATTTTCTGAGTTAAACTCCATGCCTTGTCTCTTGGATTTAATCAGAAAAACAATTGATAGACAAAAAATGCAATGAAACACTTATTTTTTTCAGAAGGGAAAATTGAAATAGAGAGTTTAGATTTCATAACAAAGAAAGGAAGCTGCTAAGTAGTCTATGGGAATTTAAACCAAGTCCAGTGTGATCCTAGAATGCCTGGTTTTAGCCATCTATTCTAATCCTCGGACTAGCAGTGCAGGAAGAGCCCCTAAGGTGATGCCACCATTTCATTTCCTGTGCTACACTGTATCTCTTGCCTAGTCCAAAGCAGAATAGAGTGTCAAGCATCAAATGAAGAGACAGTAGGAAATTACTTCACAAACAGCTATCTTTTTACACATACACACAATAGGCATACAATTTAATAACAGGTGCCTATCAGCAATGTTATTTACACTGTGGGTAAACTTTATTTCTTATGCATTATTATTGTTATTACTTTAGTTCAGAGTTAGAGATGATACTGTTTTCTATGAATGGTAATGTGTTAGATGAATTTTTAAAAGGTTGGTGAGGGGCAGAGGATGAATATTAACATTATCGTTTTATTTAGATTGCTTGGTCTTCATATTGAGCTAGGAAAATCCAGAAACATCTCTCTAACTTGTTCATCTCATTATAAAAAGTTAACTATGCTTTTCATACATGATATACAAAGGAGAAAAAAGGTTTTGAAAATCCAAATTTGTACTAAGGAATCTCTAAATTTTGACTTAGTTTTCTGAAAAAAAAATCCCCAAATTATTCTCATTCCTTTTACTTCTAGATAAAGTGGCACTTATGAATATGTTTGCTTGTTATGTAGACTTACAAAAAAAACTAACTTGCAATTGTAAATGATTGTATATGTGAAATCATGATATCCCCTTCATACAGGAATTCAAAACAATGATAAATTTGACCTTTTTAATATTGCTTCAATAATATATGTATACACTTTGATCCATATTTTAGATGCATGTATTTCACAGTACCTGAGCGATGGGACTAAGAAGAAACATTCACAAAGACAAATAGTGTTTTACATCTGCTTGCATTAGCACCAAATCCTTCTTCCCCTATCCCTTAAATATTTATCAGTGTATGACTCCAATACCTAAATTGTAAGTGCTCCTAAATGAGCTCAGCACCTTGACTGTTTTCTATGGAAAGCTTTACACAGAAGGAATTCAAGCAATTGCTCATGTCGGACATATTACAAATATTACTAAATAACTGTAGATAGTCCTTACTAATGATAGATATTTCCCAATAGTTTGTAAACTACTTCCACAGAGGAAATTTTAGTTGTAATATTAACTAGGTGAGAAAAAAATAAGCAAAGATTTATAAAGGTACCCATGATGTAAAATCTTTAATGCTTCTAGCTTAAGTTCTGAGAGATAAAATCTGGTCTCTACTTTCCTTTAGTGAACTTTTCACCAGGAGATATGAAGTTTAAATGAATTATTTTATGTTATCCTAACACAATACTGTTTCATAGTAGAAATCTGAGTAAGTTGATATTTTGGCGGAATTGAGGTGTATGATCATTGCCTAACATGTTGCTACAGTTGTGGGTAAGGGACACACTGAGCCTCATAATTTATATTCATATTTAGAGGATGTATTGAACCTGCTTCCTGACTTAAATTGGTAACTTAATTTTTATTACTTTGAAAGACAGCTGTGTATGCCTGTGAAAGCCGAAGTTCAAGCAAGCTTTCACACCTGGAGGGGAACTCCATGGCAGATTCTCGGATCGATAAGTCCGGTAGCATTAAGGAAACTGTTTACTAGCGTGCGCATGTTTCCATACAGTAAAAGTCTCCTTGGTTAGGGTTACATTTCATGTGAGTGATTAAGAAAAGGTGATTAGAATGGAATGCTTTGATTTTCTTTTTCCCGTGGAAACTCTCACGTGTAGTTTTACATTTACACCAAGATCATGCAAACGAATTATTCCAAGTCTAGGCAATGATTTTTCCTCCTTATCTAATTATCAATATCCATTTCCTTTAAAGTCTCAAATATCCATCAGTGTGGAAGAGTGGGAAGACACCAAAGATGCCAAAGAGCCGGGGCACCACCGTGGCATTCACCGCAACTCAACCTCCAGCGACCAGTCAGACCACCCCTTGCTGCGGAGGAAGAGCATGCAGTGGGCCCGCAGGCTGAGCAGAAAAGGCCCAAAGCACTCTGGTAAAACTGCAGAAAAAATAACCCAGCAGCGACTGAACCTCTACAGGAGGTCCGAAAGACAGGAGCTTGCTGAACTTGTGAAAAATAGGATGAAACACCTGGGCCTTTCTATGGTGGGCTACGGTATGCTCCTTAAAACTCCTATACACACGAGCATGTCAGTTTTTTGCTATTACTAGTTACACAATCAGCTCTAATGGAAGAAAGAACTGAATTTTTGTCTGAAAATGCATATACATGGCACCTGGATGAAAATTTCATCTTTTGTGGAACATTTAAATAACAAACATGTTGCTAAAAAATGTTCAGCAATTATTTAGATCACTAGGCAATGTTTGAACCTATTACGGGGATATCTCACTTTTAATTTAAAGAGAAATCTTGAGGTAGATTTAGTTTCCAATTTGGAGCTATAAAAACTAAGCCATGAAACTTTTGGATTTGCTTACACATGGCTGAGATTTCTAAAGGTCTATCTGGCTGCAATTTTTCTCTTTCAAACACACACACTCACACATACACACAAACATGACACAAACATCACATCCATGTAATTTCTGGGGCTTGAGATAAAATGAATTTGAGGTGTTGCAAGTAACTAACTATAATAGCCATTGAAGAACTATAATGAAATTAGAAATTGTGTTTAATTTCTTACCCAAAGACTTCAAAAGCTTTATTTATTTTCTATTTTATTTTTGAGAGTCTAATATAATTATGACATTTCTCCTTCACCTTTCCTTCCTTCAAACTATCTCATATACCCTTCCCTGCTTTCCTTCAAAATCATTTCCATTAATTATTACTGCATTCATACATGTACATGCATATGTGACCTCTTTTTCCATTAATTATTACTGCATTCATACATGTACATGCTTATGTGTGTGTGTGTATGTGTGTGTGTGTGTGTGTGTGTGTATGTGTTCCTAAATATAACCTGTTCAGTTTGTATTATGTCACTTGTATGTATATTATCTGGGCTGACCATTGGGCTCTCTACAGCCAATTGCTGTGCTTTTCCCTGGGGAAGACCATCTCTCCAGATCCCTGCTTTCCTCTGTTGCTCTTTTCCTAGGGCTGAGGCCTTGAAAGCTTTATTTTTGAAATAGAAATACTGTTAATTGACATTGTGCAAGCTTTCTAAACAATTTCTAGTTGCTATGTTAATCAATGATTCCATATACAAAAAGCTTAATAAAGTAATGCACCGATCACCTTAGAAATGCCATTATTATTATCCAAGATTTATTTTAGAAAAGTGGTTGGCAGCATTGTAACAAAGCCAGTAAACACACTATAGAGACTGAGGAAATTCCACACAGTCCCACCCTTAGATGGAGAACTACTAGAGGCCAGTGACTACTGAGAGAGGCATAATCCCTTGCCTTTAGGATAATTTCTCAAATAGATTATTCAATACAAAGTTTATCCCTGGATACATGCATATATGAACAAAACTAAATGGATTCAGTATGATGTTTGTGTATATGTGTGTATATGTATATAATATGTATGTATACATATGCATACATATAACAATAATAATTTTTTAAAGATCATGCATATTAGAGAGGTAATAGAGGAATTTGAGGGACAAAGGGACAGGAATGATATAGATTCAACCATCATGCATGAAATTCTCAAAAAATATAAAACTAATTAAAATAAACAGTCAATTGGCCAATGATAAATGGGATGTTTTAATTGTTTATGTATACTTACATGTATACATGAGTGCACACACACTTGCACACATTCATATATATATATATAAAATCCCCATTTTATCTTTATTATAAAGTTTTATATTGAGATAATGTTCATAAGACATTTTAACCACTGAAGTAGAATTTAGAAGAAGTTCTTTTTTAACATGAAAAGTAAAATATATTTACTGAGTGGTTTCATACTGAAACTGTGTGCATTTTCTCATAATTCTTTCAAAGTGATCATATTAGTATCTTGTTTAAATTTTATGGTTTTCCTCTCAGAGATGGATTACCCAGATCAAAGACTTGCATTTGAATTTTCTCCAGTAAGAGTTCCTTATGTAATTGACATTTGTAATTATATTTCTCTTAATTGTGGTGAATACTGATCTGCGTCCAGTAATTTTAATAAAAATGCATTTAATATGTTACATTGGGAAGTAAATGAAAAGTTCAGAATGTTCTTCCAGAAATTTACTAATGGCAACTTGCCAGTTTGATGACATCTGAGATGATTCGATTTCTAATAGATTAATTTTCTATTTTTACCTTTTAGGTAGTGCTAAATTACTTGTCTTTTAATGAGAAAAATGGCAAATATTTCTTCATCTGAATTACAACTGTCCCAGAATGTTATAATCCCATTCATCCATAAGCAGGACTGTATATCACAGTCTTGATTATTGGGAATATGAAACTGTATGAGCCAACTGTATGGACATCACCCAAGAAAGCATCAGGGATTCATAAGAAAATCTTTCTCAAAACTTTCTCATATTCTATCTTTATGTAAATTAGTTGATTTTATGATCATGATAATTCTTATAGAACAGAAGGTATTCTATCCTTCTATGGATACAGTTCTCTCAGTGGCACCAAGGACGGACTCCTAGACTTGCAGCATTGTATGTTTTTACACCAGGGAAGACCACATGGGTGGGGACGGGTAGGAAAGAGGGAGAAAGGAGTGCGACCTGACTAACTCAGGGTCAATTTCTCTGTGTCCTGAACCCAAAGTGAATGGTGTCCTCAGCGATAGGGTCTTATCACATGATTATGATGGACAACCAAAGCAATGCCAGTGGCCTGTATTGTCTGTATTGGGTGACTCTGGGGCCTCTTTGACCAATCACACCTAGGGAATTAATACATGCCTGTCTGTGAGATTTTTATTTAATAACTCCTGTGTCTTCTGAAAGCAGCATTGTTCACTAATGTGGAGTTAAAAAAATAAAATTGGAGGGCTAAAGAGATGACTCAGTGCCTAAGAGCATTGACTGCTCTTCCAGAGGACCCAAGTTCAATTCCCGGCACCCACATGGTAGCTCCCAACTGTCTGTAACTCCAGTTCTAGGGATCCAGCACTCTCTCACAGACATACATTCAGGGAAAACAACAAAGCAAAGAGAAAATTAAAAGATAAATAAATCATTTTAATGCATTTTCCAGGTGGCAGTTGTGCATGTCTTTGATCCAAGCATTCCAGAGGCAGAGGCGGGCAGATCTTTGTGAGTTCCAGGACAGTCAAAGCTACACAGAGAAACCCTGTCTCAAAAAACCAAAAGATTAAAATTTGTAATTGGCTTATGAAACAGTGTCATTCCATTAAGCTTCCTCATATATCCTTAAATTTTATTGACTCACCATCTACACTTAATTCCCAGTTTCTTGATTGCTCGAAATTTTGAGGAATTTTTAAAAAAATGTATTGGTCACTTGTAATTTTCTGTAACATTTTGCATCTCATACATCTATAACACTACTCCTGACAATTGCTGTGAAATTGTGTCTACTGGAAATGTCAGTTATAAATTCTCACAAACGTGTTTGCGTAAATGACACCAGTAGATACACTAATACGGATGAGGGAAAGCTCATGGGGCCTCAACCCTATACAAAGAACTACAAGCAACTAAGGAATGATAGAGGAGGAGAAATAGTCTTCCCCAGGGAAGAGCACTGCAATTGGTTATCCAAATGGTCAGGTCTGAAATTATATACATACAAGTTACATAAAACAGACTGAACATGTTATATTTATGTATTTAAGGACACACACATGCCCATTTCAGAAAAACAAAAGAAAATGAGTCAATGGATTTGAAAGAGAGGAAAGGGTATTTGGAAGGGTTTGGAGGGAGAAAAGAAAGGGGAAAATGGTATAATTATATGACAGTCTCAACAATTGAAAAAAGAAATTTAAAAATATTTATCATTATCATGTTTTGAAAATTGTCTTTTAAACTCCTTACTCAATCTGTTGGTTGTATTTTGCAGTTCTTTGTATGTTTTTGCTAATAGCCCCTTGTCTGAGGTACAGGACAAAGATTTTCTCTCATCTGTGAGCTGTGTGTTACCCCTGCCCTTAGTGCCCTTGGCCGTGCCAAGGATTTCATGCAGTCCGTTCACCGATTTCCTACCCCCCCTGAAGCCCTGTTAGGAAGCTCTTTCGCACACTTCAATCCCAAAGTGGATCCCCTCCGCTTTGCTCCAGAAGTTCCAACATTTCATGTTTTAAATGAAAGTGTTTGGTCCCTTTTGAATTGAGCTTTATGTCGGAAGAAAGACATGAATCTAAATTCACTGTTCTGAGGGTGCATATCTCATTTTGTCAGCACCATTTGCTGAGTCTCCTGATTTTTCCACTGTGTGTGCAACAATTTCAAGAGCAGTAATTTTAACTAGATGGTATTTTTTCAGTTACCTAAGGTCAGAGTTTAGCTGTCTGGAAACGGTATATTCATAGAAGATTCTTAGTACATTTCTGATGCTAGGAAATAGAATCTTAATTCTCTGATTCATACAACCAGATATAAAGCAAATCCATTTTATTAGTAAGTATTGTATTCTGTGATTGGCACAACCATATATATGCATGTCTGCCAGGGTTAATGATAATTATGTTAAGCTCTTAAAAATCCATCAAACCTGCTATATTCACCTTTATAGAATTGAGAAATAAACAAAATATAACCTCAGAGAATGACTAGTTGAGATTAAAACAGTAGTATGTGGCCAATAAAACAATTGGTAAATATTGCTTTGAAGTGTGTCTACAATAGACTTAAAAACATGCTTATTAATTCTCAAATGCAAAGTCACAAAGAGAAAGAGGTAACTGCAGGCCTTCAGACAACGTGTGACAGGCAAGCTGTGGTCCAACTGAGCTCTATTGCAAGGCAGACTTGAAAGAACAGTTTTGAACTCAACAACCACTTTTAACCTAAATCAAAAGGATGGCATTCCTCTTCCACGAGGACTAGACATTGAGGAGTAAAGAAAGAAACTGGAGTTGCTGCTTCCAACTGTGACCTCATCCTTGCCTTGATTTAAAACTTGTGAAATCACTGAGTATATTATCAACATGTTTGATATCCTTCTTAGAGCCAGTTACACAATAAATGCATTCAGTTTGATGTGTTAAAATAGGCTAACAGGGCAAACCAAAGTACTGACAAAATAATTGCATCTACCATTAGAAAAGCTCATAATTATCTAGAAAGCATTGGACAAACAAATGAAATCACCACTGCCCCTTGGCTTGTATATAAAAGCAATATGAGAGTTCTCTGTTAATGTCAGATCGTCAGAGTGCAGCTGTGTATCTCCACTGAGCAAGTGGTGGTCTGGTAAGATTAGCTTCTTCATATCGCAGCTCAGCAATACTGTTGTTTATTTTAGAAACTGAGTTGCTCACACCCAAATGGCATGGAGATCTTTCTAGTATACCTATTGCCTCTCAGAGTGTTTGTTATTTATGATTTAGGGTTTAGAGCACACCATCAATTTGAGTTCCTTTGAAAAGAAGTTATTATCATTCACACAAAAAGAATTTTTTCGGAGAAGAACATATGAATCAAACATTTTTTATAGAGATATATGATCTTGATAAACTCATGTCAGTATAATATGATTTATGTTTGATTTGTAACTATTTTTGGAGTATAATTTTATAATAAATTGGGATTTCAAACTCCAGCCTGTTGATTTAGTCATACATCCCTCCTTATGATTCCCAGACTTAGCAAATAAACATACTGGATTCCCAGCTGCATTTGACTTTCAAATAATTTTTCATGGTTTCCCAAATTATTTCAGTGTTCCACATGCAATCTTTAGGTCATACTTGTGCTAAGCAGTTTGTTTGTTAGATGTTAGCTGTGGTTTACACATCCTTGGGCGTTCTTTGTTTATTTCCTGGCAATCTTGACATTTTTAGTGGTAAACTTTTGGTAGGCTCACCTATTCTGTAATTTATCTGTCCTGTGAGATACTAACTTTGTTACAGGCATTAAAGTTGATTTGCAAATCAATTGAACTAAAGCAGAATATATTATGACATTAGGAGGACATTTTTTTCCTACTGAAATGAATGTAATAAATAACATTATTTTGTGAGAATAGCATTTTAGTACAGCAAATTGTTTATTAGGTTCAGCTATGTTGGCCTGACATGAACTTTAATGAAATATTTAGATATTGAGGAACTTCTTTTGGTAAGAAGCAATTTTAAACTTTTCTTTAAACTTAATAATACAGTATTGCCTTCAAGAACTATGCTTAATGCCGCGTGGTGGTGGCACATGCCTTTAATCCCAGCACTTGGGAGGCAGAGGCAGGCAGATCTCTGTGAGTTCAAGGCCAGCCTGGGCTACAGAGTGAGTTCCAGGACAGGCGCAAAACTACACAGAGAAACCCTGTCTCAAAAAAAAAAAAAAAAAAAAAAAAGAAGAACTCTGCTTATTTACAAGCCTAGTGTCTGAAAAACAGACTTTATCCTTGGAAAGAAGAGTAGTCATTGAAGTACATGTCCACGTGGCTTTGTCTTCGCAACTTAGAATGCTCTTAGAATATAAAATATCAAGACCTACAAAGTTTTTCACATTTTAAAAATGATTATTTTTATGCTATTTTGTATTGGTGAGTTTCTGATTGCTATATCTGATACTCGAAGTTGGGTACTTTTAAAGGAATGAACTTTATTAAGTCATATTACTGGAGGTGAGGATTCTAATACAGGTTCAGTTATGGTGTTTTGTGATGGCCCCTTGTCTGTATCACATCAGATCAGGTGTGAAGATAAAATAGAAACTTACAGAGTGAGGTATAAAGCCAACTTATGTAGGGCAGGGATCGAAAACTTGCTCTTTTGAAACAACTTGACCTTTTAAGAACTAACTCAGGACATAACCCAGTGCTCTGATGACCTTAACTTCAATGTCCTCATGGTACCAGCCCTTCCCAACATGGCCGATGAGAAGAAAAGTATTTGCCAGTGTAGTCTCCTTGAAACGTTAAGGTTAAATTCTTTTACAAAGAATTATTTGTATTTTTAAAGAAGAAACAAATTGTGCCATGAAGACATGCATATGAAAGCTGTGCATAGTTTAACATGATTCTCTATTACCTTCTAAATACATATGAATAGATTATTTTTCAGGAGTTTCCTGTATCAATGTTCTCTGCTATGACAATGTTTGCTTCTAATTATCTTTAATTATTACAAAGGGAAATGAATCAAGTAAATATCTCATAACCATTTCTTTAGTAGAAAAACTTTTTAATTGTAATGACTTTCAGGAGAAAACGTAACTATGGTTACACTGAACAGAATTAGATACTTTATTTTTATCATCTACTGAAACAAAAAGTAGATACTTTGAACATATTTCAGATGACAGAAATGTAGGAACCAAACTTCTATCCATTAAAAACAAAACAGAACCAAAAGCAACTGCATCAAGTCAATGTTAAATCATTGACAACTACATGATTTAAACACGAGTACAGAGATTTCTGTGATTTTGTGTGAACCATAACAGACAACATTTGTTTATCTTGCAGATGAAATGAATGATCATCAAAGCACACTGTCTTACATCCTGATCAATCCATCTCCAGATACCAGGCTTGAGCTGAATGATGTTGTGTAAGTTGACTTCATATACCAGATTAGGGATATATACATTACTAATCTACCTTCTATTTTATTTACCATTATAGTCTCTTATTTGTTTGTGTGATGAGCATGCTTGGGAAAATCTATTTTTGGCGAGCATATGCATCCCTCTGGTTCTCCATGTAGTACTTTAAAATGTAGAATTGTTGAAAAGAAGGCTTGTTAAGTGAGGAAATAGCAGCAGACATTCTCTATTCTGTGGGCAAATACACACTTTCAAAGCAAGAGAAAATCTTACTCTATGGAGAGCAGGTCAAAGAAAAAGTGAAGTAACCAACGTATATGGATCTAAAGATCTTCAAATATCCATAAGCAAAATTAAAATACCGTGGAATACGTTAGGAAAGGGCTAGAAAGAAGAACCACATTCACTAAAATGGTTCTCACCCTTCTTAATGCTGCAACCCTTTAATACAGTTCCTCATGTTGTGGTGACCCCCCAACCATAAAATTTACTTTATTGCTACTTCATAACTGTAATTTTGCTACTGTTATGAATCATAATGTAAATATCTTATATGTGACCCCCCCAAAGGGGTTGCAACCCACAGGTTGAGAATTGCTGCCCTAAAAGGATGGAGTGTATGTGTACAATAGTAATGACACTATCCTAAAAATGAGATACAGAAGTTAATATGACAGTTTCCTTTACTTCCATGTGCTTATACTTAATTAACAAAATTATAGTTGATCACAAGAAAATGGAAAGAATTCACAATGACTTATGCCGTATAAGGAATTTAATCTTTGATTACGTTAGGTGGTGCTTCATTAATTTCAAGAAGAAAGATATTACTTCGAAATGGAATTAATACCAAAAATGGTGGGAGATATCACCTACCTTTTGAAATTTAAATAGGATTTGTTTTGTTGAATGTGGTGGGGGGCACATTCCAGAACTGGAATAATGATAAAAGAAAATGTTCTGCATAGGGAAGACATGAAGTATTTTAGGAAACAGTTGGTCAATATAACAATGGAAATCAAATTAGATTTGACTCTGAGAAGGGACTTAGGTAACAAAGTAAAAGGTTCAAATGTGACTTTATTATAGGTTGCCTATCCACACCTGAGAAAGAAAGTGTCAATAGTTTAGAAATGAAACTTTTACAGTTGATAGTGTGAGCATAGAAAAGAAATTCTTATGAAAATCTGCTCTTCAGGTCATGATCGGTCCTGTTCTGGGTCTGCTTGGAGGCTCAAAGATGGTGGTTACCATTCAGTTACCATCCACTGTGGCTGGGAAATAGAAGAAGCAGGAGCTTGAATAACTTGTCATTGCCTACGGATTGAGCAGCACAAAGCGAGGAATGCTTGTGTTCACCCCACTTTTTCCTTTTTATATGTTTAGGATTCTATCACAGGGAATAGATCTTCCAACCTCAGTAGACCTAGTCAACATAATCCCCAGTAGAAAAGCCCAGATACCATCTGTCAGTTGATTGTAGATCTATCTGGTTGACAATTGAAATTGACATTCACAGAATGTAATTGACTTGTTATGTCTTTGACATTTATCATTTCTGTTGAGACTATCCAAATTCTCTTCCTCTAACTATTTTGAAGTATACAATGAATTGTTACTTTACTATGCCATAACATTTTAAAAGTTACTTCTATCCAACTGTATTCATTTACCATATTTTAAAAGTTCTTCTATCCACTGTATTCATTTACCAATTAACCATTTTTCCTTGTACCCCATTCTCCACACTTCCTAATGATCTAATAGCTAACACTCTACTCTTTATATCTCAGAAATTAACATTTTTGTTTAAACATATAAATGAGAACACATGGTGTTTATCTTTCTATGTCTAACTCCTTTTACATTGTTCTCTAGTTTCATCCACATGGCTTCAAATAATATAACATTATTAGATGGAAGCCTTTGTTATTAGTGATATTTCAACAAACATGAAAGTGTGGGTAGTTCTGATCAGATAAGAGAAATATTGTTGTATGATATTCGATCACACTGTGAACCCCAAGTTTGCATTTGAGTTAATTAAGTAAAATCAACCTTTGCTCAGGAGGCAGAGCTAGCAATTTCCTGACAGAAAGTAATCAAAGAGAGTCAGAGGGAGTCTGGAAGATGGATAGAGAGATGCACAGGAAGTAGTAGGAAGGGACTTTGAGAGTGGAGGTCTTTCTGTGATGCCTGCAAAGAGGGAAGCTCAGCTTGTTGCTCCTCAACAGCTCTGAGCTAGCAGGTTTTCTCCCCAGCCTTTGACTCCTGAGTCTCATTGACAAATAGAATGATAGAGATTTACTTAAAAACCATATTTGGTGTCAGGAACAGAAAGCAGAACAAACAGAACATAAAAGTTCCACATGCCATTACCAGAGAATCAGTGCCACTACCAGAGAAGTGGGCCGGTAACTGCAGAACCACAATCACTGCCAGAAACAGCAGTAATTTTTACTGCTTTTACACTTGTTTTGTCTTCTAAAGTACAGTCTCTCTTGGAGAAGTTTCCATATGTTGAGTGTATATTCAGCAGTTGCTGGAGTAAATGTCCTGTAAATGTCAGTTAGCTCAATTTAATTCATGGTATAATGAACCATATAATTCTTTGTTGTTGTTTTGTTTTGTTTTTTTTTTTTGAGACAGGGTTTCTCTGTGTAGCTTTGCGCCTTTCCTGGGACTCACTCTTATTGAGTTATTTACTTAATTTTCTTTATATACCTAGTAGTAGATTGCTGGATCACATTGCTTTTCTTTCTAGTTCTATAAAAATAATTTCTGTAGTGTTTTAACTATGGCTAAACTATTTAAAATTGGCATCAATAGTAAATGAATATTTCTCTTTTTCTACATCTCCAGCAATATTTGATCTCTGATCTTTTGTATAATAGCCATTCTAAAAGATGTGAGACAATAATCACTCTGTTTTGATTTGTATTCATCTAATGATTGAATGTTATTATAATTTTTTTGTTCTTTTCAGTAATTTCTATGAGAACTGTTCTTTCAGGTCATTTGTGGACTTTTAATTGAATTAATACTTTGGGGATTTTGCTGTTGTTAAATTGGTTGAACTCCCCATGTATTCTAGATATTATATCACTTATTGAATGAATATTTCAGAAACCATCTCCCACTTTGTGGTTTTCACGTTGTTGATCATTCTTTGGCTGGCCAAGCCTTTGACCTTGGTATAATGCCATTTGCCAATTTTTCTTTTACTTGTTGTGTGTTTTGGGTTCTGTTATCCTGTAAGAATCAATTTAATTATGCTGCATGTCTTTGTAGTATAATAGAAGACACATTTAAATAATTTTACTGGAATAAAATAAGCATACAATTTATACCTTTAAATATAGAAGTTACTGTTTTTAAGTATTTCCCATGGCTATGGAGAAATTGTCACGATTCAATTTTGGAACATTTCATCCCTCATTAAGGAAGTCCTGAATCACAGATGGGTTAAGCTATCCATCTCCATCATCTATCTCCCTACCCTTACTTTTGTACTTACTCATTAGCCTGCATTCTATCATTACAGGTTTTCTTTTACTAGTAAGTTTGCAAGTAAATAATATCACATAGCGTTTACCCTTTTGTTATTATATTTCTTCTTTGAAAAAATAAAATAAAGGATCTGTCATGTGACAGTACCATAATGTTTTAATTTCAAAGTATTATTTAATGCAGATAGGCCACATTTTATTGTTGCATCATTGTTCTTTAACATTTGTTTCTGATTTTTGACTCTTGGGATATGGTATTATGACCTTTTAATAGATGCATGTTTTCACTTCTCTTAAGGATATACTTGGCAGTAAAATTTCTGGGTACATGGTGATATTATCTTTATCATTTTGAGGATAAACTAAACTGTTTAATAAACCTGTTGTATAAGATTTCCTCTCTAGTAGATAGTGTAACACCTTCTTAGTCAACATTTGTTGTTTTGGTCTGTAATAGCCTTCTATAATATCTTTAAATAATTTTATATCGTTCTTCAAAATTAAAAATACAATGAATAGTCATCATATCCTTCCTACTACCACCCTCCAGCTCCTCTTGGAAACATCCAACCTGTATCTCTTCTGCCTTTGTGTTCTCTTTTATTATTACTCACACTTTTAGCTTCAAGTCTAATTAGAGCTTAGTATATGCATATGGTTGTGGGACCATCCAGTAGTACGTACCATCCAGTAGTGCATAGACAACGTACTACTGGCTGCATTCCCAAAAACAAGTGGCTCTCAGTAGTTCAGCAGCTATCAACTGCCAATAGTTCTTCAGCTATTGGTGAGGTCTCTGGGCTGTGACATAACTCCCTTGACTTCTGCCTGCTGAAAAAAAAGAAACTCTTTGACCATGGTCAACAGCAACAAAACTATGTGGATATAAACATAAATATTTAGAGGGCATTTTCACAACCTTATCATTTTGTGTGAAACATTATAGCACTTAGTTCTCATCTAACACCAATAATCTCTCCAATATTTGACCAGCTTTATTTTTTTACTTATTTATTTATTTTGGTTTTTTTAAGACAGGGCTGCTCTGTGTATAGCCTTTGGCTGTCCTGGAACTTACTCTGTAGACCAGGCTGGCCTTGAACTCACAGAAATCCACCTGCCTCTGTCTCCCAAGTGCTGGGATTAAAGGCGTGCATCACCACTGCCTGGCTTGACCAGCTTTATAGTACTAGCCATGAAATCCCTCCTGCAGAGCAGACCTCAGATCAAACAAAAAGGTGATTGGTTAACTTTGGTGATTGTTAGAGTTACTATGCCACTTTTGCACCAGGAGCACAGCTTGCCTGGTACGCTGGTATTGTAGCATGTGGGGTCCAGTACTGTGTAGCTAGAGTTTTCCTGCCTGGCCCACAGTCAGGGCAAATCTCTCTCACCTGCCAGTCCCACAGCCTCTCAGACCTGACCAAGTAAACACAGAGACTTATATTGCTTACAAACTGTATGGCCATGGCAGGCTTCTTACTAACTGTTCTTTCAGCTTAAATTAATCCATTTCCATTAATCTATACCTTGCCACATGGCTCGTGGCTTACCGGCATCTTCACATGCTGTTTCTCATCATGGCAGCTGGCAGTGTCTCTCTCACTCAGCCTTCCACTTCCCAGCTTTATTCTCCTCCTTGTCCCGCCTACGCTTCCTGCCTAGCCAATGGCCAATCAGTGTTTTATTTATTGACTAATCAGCAACACATTTGCCATACAGAACATCCCACAGCAGTACTGGGTATGTTAAAGCAAAGTGTGTGGTATCTTCAACAATAGTCTTACTATCTAGTTAAGCTGAGCAATAATAATGCTCCCAAAATACATGAATAATGAAATGAAAACTTTAGAGTCAGGCGTGAATTACTTCCCTAGAAGTTATTGAAGAAGGAGGCCTCAGTGGTGGTCAAAACAGTAAAAGCTATTGCCATTTCCCTTGGAAACTTATTCTAAATATTTGTCAAGACTGGTGTCCTAAAAGGCTTCCTTTGTTTTCTGCTACTAGAGTTATAGCTGGGTTTACATATAAATCCTTCACCTGTTTGGAATTGATTGTTGTGTATGGTTAAAAAAAAATAGGGATATAAGTTTGAGGTTTTGTTCAGTTTTCACAAAACCATTTGTTAAGGAGATTATCCTATCTCCTCTTCAAGTTCTTTATCCTCTGTTGCAAATTCAGTCAACCTAATGTTGACTAAATACATATGCTTGTCTATACGCCAGTACTGTGCTGTGCCGGTTACTCTACATCGCGGTAGTATAGTTTACTATACAAGATGTAAGCCTTGTAGTTGTTCTACTTTTTCCCATTTTGCTTAGGATGACATTATTACCTTGGGTCTCACTGAAATGTCTAAAATCCATAAGGGTATGTGATGCTAAAGTTTAAAAGACTAACCTGTTCTATACAGAGATGTGTATAGAGAGAAAAAACAGTCGATGTCAAACTGTGGAGTAGTGTTCAGTTTTAGGGTAAGATAAAAAAAAAACATTTCACAAAAAGTTACTAGAAAAACATAATAGAAAGAATACCATTATCCCTATCTCAAACTTGGAAAAGATTCCTAAGTTAAACCTAACATTATCAAATACAGTGTATTTTACTGTAAGAAAATAGATTTTTGTAATCATGTTAGCATAATTTTAAGTTATTAGAGTTCCCGTGGTCCTGTCAGAAGTTATATCTAATGATGTTGAATTTTTTTTTTTTTTTTTTTTTTTTTTGGTTTTTCGAGACAGGGTTTCTCTGTGTAGCTTTGCACCTTTCCTGAATCTCACGCTGTAGACCAGGCTGGCCTCGAACTCACAGAGATCCGCCTGCCTCTGCCTCCCGAGTGCTGGGATGATGTTGAATTTATAGAGGACAAAAATATGTGGAAGAACTTTATAATGCACCTGGCTCTGTCTTTAAGACATCATTTGGATTATCACTATAAGAAAACTTAGTAACTCTTTTCTTTACCTTCCGTATTTGCACATCTTCTTTCCTAGAAACCCATTTCTTAAAGAGCAAATTTTAGAAATTTCTAATCTACCTCATATCTTAACTTGAATATTCTTTTCTAAATAATCATAACTGACTGTTCTGTTGGCTTTCTTAGTTAGGCTTACTTTATTTGTGTTTTATAATGAATTTTAAGTTTCTTACGACTGCCACAACAGTTGTGCATGGTTGTCTGTTCAACATTGATATGTTAATCTTTTGAGTCTATGAACATGTTTTTCTATCATATATATGTTTATTATTTTATGTTATTTTTATAATATTTTATATTATAGTATTTAATATTTATATTTAATATTATTATAGTATTTAATACTATATTGTTTATTATATATACATATACATATATATGTTTATTATTTCAAATGAATTATGAAACTTTCTAGCCTAGAGCCACATTTATTTACAATGCATACAGTAAATCAAGCATGCTTGCAAAAATTTTCCTGCTCTTTGAACACTTTTATTTTTATTGAATTTAAGCAAAATCATCAATTTAAGTGCCATGAAAATATGGTCCTAACATTATTCCTGTGACTATATTTGTGACCTTGACAGAAGGCTTAGCAGAACTCAAGCTATGGCACATTATCATACTTACTACAACATGTAGCAGATCAAAGGACAGCCAAAGGAATGTGCTCTGGTCCAACTCTGGCTTGTAGTGATAATATTGTAGAAAATAGTGTTTGTCACAATATCAATGGATAATGAATTATACTTGTACTGTTTGTGTTTTTTTCTAAAATTTCACTTCTAGAAGTTAATTCCAAATGAAAGAGCAACATTAATTTGATTCTGAAACAATAAATCACTAGATGAAATGTCGTTAAACGGCTTAATGTGTGCTATTAGTTTTCTTCATTGATCTACAATGCTTTTGAAATTTCAAGTAATTAGAAAGCAGTGGGCATAGACAGTGAAATTCTGTTAATAGATCTAAGGACATCAATTTAAGCTTTTATTTGATTGAAGAAACTGGACTTAGGGGCTTTTGGTTATCGTTCATCATACTTATTAAGGGCTGTACTATATGAATATTTTTCCATCCAGGTTTCAGGAAGAAAAGAACAATCATTGTTAGGTACTCGTTTTTAAATTAGTTTCCCAATTCTTTTTTTTCCACTTCCTTCTAATATTATTATAGTTATATGTAATTCCACTTTCATTTTCACCTGGAACATGACTATCCCAGAAAGCCATTAGTTAATAGTTTTCATTATCTCTGTCCTGTCTGTCTTTATGGCTTTACCTACCACTACTTCCTGGTCTAACCACGTGTTTAGTCAAACTCCTTTGTTAAAATATACCAGGAACAGTCTTTCCTCTGTGCCCGTCCCTCCCTATGCAAGTTTGGCAGGTCTTCCTGCTTTTGATTTCTCAAGTCTATTTTTTAAAAAGATTAAACCCAAATCCCTTAATAGAGTATTACCCTGTTCTCTTCTGTTTAGGGGCTGTTTAGAATTTCCTTCTCTTCTTTACATATGCTCCCTGAACTGGTAGCATGTAATAATGTAATAATGCCACATATGACTTCACAGCATGAAGAATCTCCTCCCCCAGACAAATCCAAATATTAATGGAACATTTGAGTTTGTCAAATGAACATTTTCTTATTTACTCGTAGAACTTATAAAGAATGATTTTCTAAGAATCACATGGTGGCTCTTGCATGTAACCCCAAAAGTTTCAGAAAGAGTCAAGAATATCCCCACAATTTTGAAGCTAGCCTGGCCTACATAGAGAGGTCCAGGCCAGTTAGGACTAGATTATGAGACCAAACGACATCAACAAACAAACAAAAGGAATAAGTAAAGACATATAAATTGGCTTTTATGCTTTAGTATTATTATCTTAAATACCAGATCTTAGAGCAGATGAACAATTTTCTAGATAATCCAAATGTTATCTAGGCATAATATTTTCCATAACAAGAATTAACTGTGTAAATTAGAAATGCTTTTCAAATCACTTACAACAAATTCTTAATTGTATGAATCATAAAAATAAGTGCATGAGTAATAAGTAGTGACCTAATGATGGTTATGATGTAGATCTCAATAGAAAGTAGCCAGTGCTTATGGTAGAAATTAGAATGGATAAATAAATTATGGAGCTTTGACCAATTGAAGCATCATAATTGGAAAGAGCAAAATACTTTATTCACTAGCATTTATCATCTAATCATATCAGGCTAATTACAGTGAGTCTTTCTGTTGGTTGTGTATAAAGTAGCAGTTTAGATAATTTACACATAGCACATATAATAAGTGAGTATTTCAGGTGACACTCTGAATTAAGGTTACCTTGGTTTGCTAATACAGCTTCCTGCTTTGTTTTCCTCTGGTAGATACTTGATTCGACCAGATCCACTGTCCTACCTGCCAAACAGTGAGCCCAGTAGGAAGAACAGCATCTGTAATGCCACTGTTCAAGACTCCCGGGAGGAAACTCAACTCTGATGGAAAGAAAATAAGAGACCTTATTTTCCCTATGGGGACCTTGCTTGAAATCACTAAAATGTTGTAGATGGTCCTAAGAAACGGACTGGAAGGTACTCAATTTCTCACTTTTCTTCTATTTAAAAACAAAATCTATTCTCTCAGAAGTACAGGTAATTTTGAAACTTCATGTGGTATTTATTGACATTTCCCTGGTTAGTATTTAAATTTCATCACTGGGAGAGTCTGAAAAATGAATATAAAATACAGAAGTTGAAATCCGATATTTAACTGTTCAAGAATAATCAGAATTGTATGCATCCTATTTTAAAACATTACTAAGACTGTATGAAAACAAAGAAATCCACCTGTATTCAGTGCATCACAAGGGCACTGAAGCCTGATTTTATCCTTATAATTAAATATATCATTATATTGCTTAAATTTGCTGTTTCTAAAATTGAACCCACTAAGAATGTATGCTTATCTCTATGTAGAGATTAATCACTAACTTCTGTAGCTGACTTCTGTCTAGGAATCATAGTTTTCTTCAGAATAGATCTTTAGAGTCATTTATGTCTGTTTTTCCATATATTATTGTGTTCATTTTAGAATCCAAGATATCCATAGCATGTTTATTATTCAGAAGATACTAAAATACAAAGAAATAATAATCACCTGGGCTTTTTGGTGACTTCATATCTAATGCACATTTTATGCCAAGAAAAGTTTACTTAAGAGAAAATATTTTTGTTCTCCTAAAAAGTACCTAATATAGAGAAAACAATACATATCTTTTCAGCTAATATGAATGTGAAAATTGGAATAACACCTGTATATATCAGATGAGCAGTGATGACTTCCATTACTGTTGACTTTAATATATTTCATTTAGCTATATAGTAAATTTCACCAGGAAAATGGGTCAAAGTTTAAAAGAAGAGTATTTATACATTTTATGGACCACAGGAACACTTTAAAACCTTTAGCATTCTCCAAATTTATTTGATATTAAATACTCACACTTAAAATCTGATTAATATGAAAATAATCAAACATATCTATACCTTAACATTATAAGGAAAATATCATTAACATAGATATTTCTTGTATTTTAAATTTAATATGAATTATTCAGAATTTGACAGATATATTTAATATAAATAATACTCTTGTCTTTATTCTCTATTTTTTCTCTTCATAAATACAACAAAACTCACAAGAGGATGAATACATACACAGTTTACCAAATCAAATACACTAATAAAGTGTTCCCATGAGAGACATATTGGTACTTTTCAAAAATAAAAATTTTGATTTTTTTTATCTCTTTCTTTATTATGAGCATGACACTTGCAACCTAAAATAGTCCATGTAAGAAATGGAATATTTTCTCCATTCTTATCATCATAAAACAGATCATAGGAAAGGAAAATATATTCTTTTAAAATATGAAGCCTAACATCCTCCCAATAATCATACAGAAAAATAGAAGCATAAAATGTGAAATCAAATCTTCTAGCCATTTTACAATTTTACTGGAGAATATAGAATGTTTCTTTTATTACCAGTACTTTACATTACCTATAATTTAGAATGATAAAAACATGAAGCATTCCCAAAAAAACAGAGATGCTCTCTAGTTTTCAGAGAAGTTTGGTTAAAGCAAGTTACTTCAAATTGAGAGCATGCCTTAAAATGTCAACATTGTATGCAAATGTGTGTGTATTATAAATGTGAAATACATTTGAAAAACACCACATGATGTTAAAATTGAAAGCAGAATTGAGTTAATGTATGCAATAGATAAAACATATTGAATATACTGACTTATTTTACATTTGGATATCAGTAGTCAAGTAAGAGCTTTCTTTAGATTAACGTTTTTTATTCCATTACAGTTCTTTTAGGAATAAACGTCAGATTTTAAAAGTCTTGTATTTCCCAATGAGGTCTGAAGTTTAGTATTTTTGCATTATGACAGTTGCTAAGACTGGAATTTTAAGCTAGGATATGACTATATTTCCTATAAAACTAAAAATTTTGTTTCATAAATTTTAAAGTAATTATTTTTTTGATTATGAATATTAGTCCAAATTTAATATTTGACAGAATTATTATTGCTTGCTATAACAATGATTGTTTCTAGTCTTTCCAATTATTTGAAGAATAAATGATGCTTATTAAAGGACTTTCAACCAACTGTTGCTTTTTTAAAATAATGACACTTGCATATGAAGATTAAAACATGAAGTAATCATGCTCTTAGCCCTTCAAGAATTGGTTTGGTTTATTGTCTATGTGCCATTTTGCTACCAGTTTCATTGAATTGCTTTAAAAATAGATAATAATAAAATTATTTCTGATGATGATGAAAATCCCTTAGTTTTTTATGGCAGAACTTGGTTTTGACAAATTGTGTTTGAAACTGTTCAATTATCTTGTCATTTTTATATATCAAACCCCAAATAAATGTGAAAGTTGCTGATTGGAAAAAATGAAAAATACTGTTGAATTACTTCTTCACGTGACATCCTGTGGATAATTACTGTGCAGGAAAAGAGAAGGGAAGAGATGGGGAGAGAAAGAAAAGAGGTACACAACAGGAAGAAAAAAATGAAGTGATTATGGGGAGGAAATAAAACTTATTTGAGGTCCAAAAGAGAAATATACTTTACAAAAAGTGTCAGGTCCTCATATGCTTATTTATACCATCCGGAAAAATTACTACCTAAGGGAAAATTAACATGGTTTCAAACATTGTGCAGTCCTTTCTTTCAGGCAAACACTAGACATTTTTCTTCCTATTTCTGTTGCTATGGTTCCTGGAAGACCCCCTGCAGTGTACGTAATGAGGACACAGATTTAGCCATGGGAATAGAAAGAACTAGTAGAGAACAGAGCCAACGGAGCAGTGGGTTGTAAGTTCTCTGATATTTCATGCTGTCTACATATATCCTAATCGTGATGCTAAGAAACCCAGTGGGCACAGACAGTCCCAGGAAAGGCGTGTTCTATCCTCTCTAAGGACTGCCTACTGGAGCAGTGTGATGTCTGGGGATCCAGTCCACTCTGGAAGCTTTTGCAAGGGGGTTTATACTTAGGACAAGGGCTATTGTAATGTACAGTGGTTATCACATAGTGAGTCAAGGATGCTCTCAACATGGAGAGGTGGATCTTGGGAGAAGTGCTGCTGGCCAAGCATGCTTCAGAGTACCTTTCTCTATAATCTTGGAGCAGAACTCTAGGGAATTCACCTAGTCCAGCAACATTGTGGCTGCTTTCCTTTGTATGAGATCCCACAGTGCTGCCTTCAAATGAACCGAGCATCAATCTAAAGGCTTTTCCCCAGAACCCTTTGTTTTGACCCTGAAGCTGTTGATACTGTTCATATACTACTTCACAATTTTCATGTTCTCTTTGCTAGCCAATCTAATATTATTCTTGTGTTCCCTTAAGAGTTAATTCTTCACCACCAGCATTTCCCCCTTGTCCTGTATAGAGATATCTTGACTATCACAAGGAAGGAATGTTAGGAGACAAAACTTCTTCAGAAAAAAAGGTTAATTTATGTACTCATACACTGGTTCGAAACTTGAACTCATGGATTTGACAAAACACAAACAGAAGCAATTGTGTCTGCATTATCTACCTTATCAAATGCCAGTCTGGATACTAACTAGAAGGAGGTGTTCACTCAAGCCCAGCAGAAAAAAAAAAAAAAAACAACAACAAAAAAAAACTGTACAATATATATGGTCAGCCTAGAAAAACTAGTATTTGCAAAGCTAATAACAGAATGAGGGGGGAAAACATCCAAACAGTTAAGCTACCATGCTTTTTCTGTGCATTTAAAAGCAATTACTTACTCTACATGTTTATTGGAATTAACTTTCCTCATTACTATTCTATTTTAATTTTTATATAAAATAAAATGTCATAATAAAGTTGTCGATTTTTAAAGTTACTTGTATATAAATTGAGATTATTTTTATAATGAAGAATAAACCTTAAGTTGAAAAAGGTTAATAATATTTATATGAAATATTATTGACCTGATGATCTAATGCTGTCAAGGGGTTCAGTGACAGGTTCCTCTTCTCTGCCAATTAAAGAAATTAAAAATCAAGAAAGACTCTTAGAGAATCTCAGTACAGTCATATGATACCTGGGAAATCAGGAACCCTATGGGGTTCTTAATTTCATTAACAAAAGAATTTAAGATCACTCACTACAGAAGCTCAAGGACAACAAAGATACTCAAAGGGAAGCTTGAGGACAATTAATTATAGTTCAAAAAGAAACCTCAGGACATGCAAGCTGTGATCTTACAGATGCCTAGAAGGAAGAGGGTGGGTAGGAGAAAGAACCTAAGCCATGCTGCTGGAGATGAGGCAATGTGAAAGTCGGGTCACTGGCCACAGGTAGACACACCTTAGAGACAGAGCAAGAAAGCCAAAGCCTTAATTACAGAGCTGAAAGACACCAAAGCTGAGGTCACTTTCCAAAAAACCAAAACAAGTAAATGAACAGAAGAATATATATATATATATATATATATATATATATATATATATATATATATATACACTTATATTCACTATAATATAAATATTCAAAATTTTGGAATAATATGACGTTATTAATTGTTTTATTAAGAATTCTAAAATTACATAAACTACAAGGAAAATAGTATCTACTTGACAAAACACTATGATTTCAAATGTTCTTGGGCAGAGTATGATATAGCTGGTGATAAAGTTTTAATGAATTGACTTTTAAGTTTCTGGCAAGGAACAAGCTGGGAAATGACTGAAATTCAGATTGAAAAACATGTTTTTATGGATAATAAAGTGTATGTTCTTGTCTTATTGCTGCTAATGAAAGGGAGAAAGCTCTTTATTTTGAAGCACCAATATCTTCCAAGTTGGTGTGAACAAGTCTCACTCGTTTCCTGAGATAATTCAAGATTGATCTTTACACTAGACAATATGTTGCAATCCAATTTGCAGCCAGAAGAATAAACAGTCATCTCAGAGTCACTGGTACGAGTTAAAAACTAAGTTCATCAGAATTTTTTTCTTTTTGGTCGTTTTTGAATATAAAATCTTCAGCACATATTTTGACAACAAGTAATTTAACTGTTAAGTTATGCAAAGTATGCTTGTGATATCTGTAGGTGTTAAAGTCCCTCAACTTTATATGTTCAATGAAAACGTTAGATAATTAGTATCACACTATCATTCAAGATTTTTTTTTCTGTGGCAGTGTATTACTGCAGAAACTTCAGTCATGTAATAAAATGATTTTATTTACTTAAAATGGTATCTTGGTAGCAGTTGAGTGGTGACACAAGCCTTTAATCCCAGCACTTGGGAAACAGAGGTAGGCAGATTCCTGTGTTTGAGGCCAGCCTTGTTATTTTGGGATTTGGGACAATTCTGTGACTTTTTTTTCTTACATTTTGGTAAAATGCTTAATATATATGTACTATAGGTAACCAACTAGTAGTAAGATTGTTGTTAACAACCTACAGAAGCGACATTTTAGCATTTTAAAGTAGTATTTGTAAGATTTATAAAATTCTTAGGCAGTCACTATTAAAAGAGACCAAGAATATCTGCCCTACCACTTAATTTGAGCATTCAGACAATTTTTCAATATTGAACTAGTTGTGCTCTTCTGACATCCTTCAATTTCTCTTACACCTTGTTTGTTTACTTCTTTATACCGAATAACCATGAAAGCAATTACTGAGTTCGCATAACCTCAATATGAGCAAGCCAAGTAATTTAACATCTTTTTGCATCATAGACAGAAGGCAATTTTCATCTGAATCTGAAATCAATTGTTTCTTTGTAATTCATCCAATACTATCATATCATAAACCACAAAACATAAATGATGATCAAGGGTTAGTCATTTGTTATGTGCATACAATATTGACCTGATCTCCAGATGCTCTGTTGTACATGGATTCATCTGACAGTGGTAGTACCACAGCCCTCAACTCCTGACTAAACAGTGGAAAGTTGATTGGTCACTAAGCAGAGCAGCAACTTCCTAGTGCTGTGACTAGGCAAGAATTGTGCTCTCAGACCAAAATAATGAAGTTATGACTGGTCCATTCTTTTACCACCATGCAGAATAATTGCTTCATGTCATAGACTGCTTTACTCCAGAGCACATGTTGAGCTCATGCTTGGAGCTATGACTCACTTCAGATGGCTTTGATGGACAGGAAATCACTGTCCTTAGTAACTTTGTGATGAAAGTAGAAATCGTTTTTAATACCAAAGTGGATGTATATATCATATATGTGGATATATTTGGGTACCAATTTTATTAGTGTATTAATAACTATGAACAATAATAGTATTCATTAAGACATTTTCCTACAAGTACATAATATATTTTGAAAGTATTTGTCCCTCCCTTAATGCTCTTTTTTCTTCTTCTCACTATGGTCTGCTTCTTCATTCCCACTAGTCCCCATTTTCCTTTCATGACTTCCAGCTCCCTTTTTGGTTATCCAATGAGTTTAGTCAGGACTGCTGATATAAGCACAGATGAGGGGGTACTTATAGGATCATGAATAACTTATCAGTGGTTAAATCATGGAAGAACACATCTCTCTCTCCCTCTCAACAACAATTAGCTGCCTACATCTTCTCAGCAGTGGGGGTAAAGTATGGTGATATTTTATTTGTATTAAAATGGTATTTGTATGTTAATAAATAAAGTTGCCCGGGGGTCAGAGCTATTAGCAAGCCATAGGAAAGCCAGGCAGTGGTGGTGCACTCCTTTAATCCTAGCATTTGGTAGGCAGAGCTAGGTAAGTCTCTGTGTGTTCAGGGATACAGCCAGTATTGGATATACATGCCTTTAATTTCAATAGACCTGGAAGTCTATACAGACAGGCAGTGATGAGGCGGTCATGTGGTTGGGTTTACAAACAATGAAAAGGCAGAACAGAAAGTCTATATAAAGACTTTAACACAGGAAGTAGCTCTCTTTCAGAGAGGTAGGACCACCACAGGAGGAAGGGTAAGGTTTTAGCTCTTAGCTCTGACCTCTTGGCTTTCTTCTTTGCATTGCTTCTGTTTTTCTTATTTAATAAGACGGCTGGTTACATCTACAGTAAAGCCTTTTGATCCCCTTTCTTATTCATGAGGCAATGTTGGTAGGCTCCATCTTGTGCAGGTTTTGTGCTAATAATAATCAGCTGGTCTGTGTTCATGAGCACAGTGGATATATCATGCAGAAGGACAGCTGTCCACGATGTTCCACCCCTTCTTCTGGCTCTGTAATTATTTCTTCCACCTCTCCAGAGATGTTCCCTAAGCCTTTGAAGGATGTCTAGACCTCCCATTTAAGGCTGAGCATTCAGCAGTCACTTCTTCTCAGCACTTTGAACAGTTAAGAGTCTCTGCAGTTACCTCCACTAACAGCAAAAAGATGCTTATCTGACCAAAGCTCAGCAGAAGACTCTGCTATGGCCATAAACATAAGTGTTTA